AAAATACAATACATCCACATCTACATCAAAATTCACATTCAAAAAATCATATACCAAGGCACTGACCGGACAACTCGGATCATTGTCACCCACAATGAACAATACAAGCACCTTTATATTAGCAACGACAGATGGGTCAATTCTTGTGCCATAGAATGAAACCCCAATGCCAAAACAGGCACCCCCGTCCTGGGCGAGCGCATCTATTAGTTGGCCACCTCCAAAGCAGAATCCAATGATACCAAGCTTCTTTGAGATTCCTGCAGCTACAAACTCATCCATCATCTATTTTTTCGAGGTTGTATCTTTTGCAATCCTTTCCGGGGTTTGTTGTGCCAGCCATTCTTCAAATAAAGTCTTTGGTCTGTCCTTTGCCCATGGATCCCCACGAAACAAGTCTGGTACTAGTACACTAACAATATTTATTTCAAGAAAAACACCAGTAAAAATTATATAAAAGATCATTTTAAGAATTGTTAACAATGCTGACAAAGATATGGAAAAACAAGACAACATGGATATCAATGCATAGACCAGCAGCATTAGATACAGAATGCTCAAGTTTGTTTAGGTGCCAAACGCATAAAACCGTAAATGAAGCCTTTTTAAAAATTTATGTTTATCCAACAGCATTATATAATGCTATCTAGTGAGAGAGCAGTGATTATAACTATGTTAGATAAGAGGACTACATGATGATAAACAACCACTAAAATCCACCAAAGCAGTTACAATCTTCAAAATGAGCAAAAGTACCTTGCATATTACTGCAATGTTAATGGCATCCGAAGGTCGAAGATCAAAGCTAACACTCTCCGTTTCATTACCCAACTGAGATTTTTTTTTTTAAAAAAAAAAAACTTTACCAGTTAAATATTACTATTAAAGCAAGTTCTATGGAAAATATTAGTAAAACAAAATATAGGCTTGTAACAGGAATATGCCTTTGTGAGGTATAACTGAGCAAAATATGCTTCATGTACCCTCTTGGTGACTCAAACAACCTTCACCTGCATAAGAAACAAAGAGTTATATCAAATGGAGGTCTTACAAAAGAGAAATCAAGGTATGAAAAGATAGAGGCATTGCTAATCATGACAAGTTGCCTTTTGATTGCATGTGGCAGGTAATTTGATGACAACATTGAAGATTCCTAGAGGATGAGCAGAAGAGTTTACTTGATAATAGTAGCCAGTGAGTATAAGAACTAAGGTGGAAATGAGGTTCAGAAGACATGTTTGTTGATTATCATGTTTTTTGCATCCGAGTGTTGAAATTTCAAGGTTGGATGCTTAGAAAGTATGGCCAGAAAATGAGCTACCATGTTAAACAAGAATGTTTAAAGATCCTTCCTATTTGTATTTCTTTTCCTTTCTCTATATCTTTCCCAAAACAATCATAATATGATGTGCATGGCAGCCTCCTATGCAGTCCAGATCAACAATCATGAGGAAAGCCAATAGATTTTCCTTGACCTCTGGCATTACGTTGCTAGCCTACTGAATATGATAGTGTACTCAGGTAGTATATTGCTAGACATAGTGTGAAAACTAGCTTTCTTAAATATTATCACATATGATATATATACACAAATATATATTCATTTTCAATTTCCACCCTCTTTTGTTACATGGCATATTTATGACTCATAAGAGATAAAACATGTTATTCGGTTCAGAGTACCTCTGGCACCATTTGGTTCTTCCCACTTTGACATTCGAGTTCCGTCAAATGCAGATGTGACCTGAAATTGGTTGACAGCAATGCCTTTAAAAGAATTTCATTATCAACAATGGGATCATAAAGAAATCCACAAGACACGTGTCATATATTAATTATCAATAAAATTGAACTAATAGCATGAACTGGTCAATGCAACTTACAATTCCAAAAGGAAGCTCCTCCCCACTAGCAAGGACCAAACCGGAGTATATTCTGTTTAATTTTTTGAAGTGGCTAAGAGAGAATTTTTATTGAAGTTGTTGCACATATTGACATTATGGATCACATCATCCAGAGCATGGAACAAAACAGGCAATGCTATGGAGGTTCTAACAGGATCAGCAGCCAAATAAATGTCAACCCTTCCACTGGCATCTAGCTCACTCTTCAGGGAAAGGGCATCAAACAATTGATCAAAAGAAGGCAGCATCTGAAGGAAAAGATGCTGTGCACCATTTGAAACAGGGTTTATAGAAGTTCTCTTTGTTCTAAAAGGGGAATTCTTGAGATTGATTAACATTTGTTTAAAAAACAGTAGGACTTCAACAGCTCTAGATTTAGAACAAGATTTCTCGACAAACTGAGAAATGATTGGACAAAATGCGTTGTAGATCTTTGTCACATGCTCATCAATGCATTTACGGGCTGGACAACAAGAAGAACTTGGAAAGCAAATCTCGTCAGAACCAAATTCTGATCTTGACATGCGCCATTCCTTGTCACCACTTTGTCTTCCAGGTAACGAGATTGAAGCATCATCTTTAGAGTGCAACTCTCTCTCAAGTGCTTCAGCTTCATTCCTGTCTTGATCCTCTAGGGCAGAAATCACTTGAGATGCAAAATTCTGTCGGCATTCTCTTCTTATGTTCGAGAGAATAATAGACAGGATGGGCTCCGTAGTAATGTTTCTCCGAGACAGAACCTTTAACATGAAAATATTATTGCGCAGTCAAAACTCACATATTCGCATATTTTTTAATGTGAAGTGATCATTAAAAAATTTATAAGACTACCTCATGCCACTTTCCGCTGTAACGTTTAGTGACGTCATACACTCCATCTTTTGCAAAAGCAATTACATAATTCAAATTCTTTTTCCACCTTCAAAGAAAAAAAACATTTGCAAACAATATAGATGAAAGTCAAAAAGTTGATTCAACTATGAAGCATCAGGATGAAAAAAACAATTCCAAAACTATATAGATTATGTGTAGGTGAAAGTACCCTTTCTCATATAGCAAAGGATTGTCGTATATTCCTTCACAGGGATCAAGATGCATCCATCTATGAAATTTGAACCCACCATAAGAATTTGTGGATGCACATATAGAACATAACAAATAGCAGCAGCTGCGTGAATAAAATATTTACACAAGGACCCATTGTATCTCATGTCCACACAAGGACCTCATAGGAAACAGAAGAGTCCATGAGACACAGGTATGAGCATATATGCTACATTCCACAAAGAATGAGATAGTTTTAACGAGCACTTGGCTCTTCTCTAACAAGAGGAAAGAAAGAAAAAGAATAAAGGGAGTAGTACTAGCATGCTAATGATCTATAGAGAGTGAGATGTGTATCTAACCACAAAAACGATCAAGTTATCAATAGGCATTACAACCCATTTTCTTCCAACATATCAAAAACGATCAAGTTATCATCTAGTAACAGTGTTTCCTGTTTCTGTTGCCTAATTCTTATTTATCCTTTTGTATTAGTTATTTTCCCCACAGCTGAGTGGAGGCGCAGAATAAACATATCAATAGAAATAGAAGATTTATGCACATAAAAGTTTCTCTCACCAATCAGAGCAACGCCATGAGATTAATTCTATATTCACAAAAGAGAACGAAAAGAAAAGCGCACCGTGGAGCAGTTTTCCCATCCTTGTCATCATCAATAAGTGAAGCAGAAGCAGAATTTTGACCATTGGTGAGTGGGCCAGCGGTAATAGCTTTTACTCTAGGAATTCGTATTTTTTCTTTAGAACTGTGTGCAGCAGTACTAATACCCATATTCCGCCATTTGTCCTGATCATGTAAATAGGCATGAAACTAGTAAATAGCATGCTGGTGTAAATGAAAATCATGCAATAGAAAACATGAGCAAACTAATGATAATTCCTGTTTCAATAAAAAAAGACAAGAAATACAGAAATTACATGGATTCGCAGCTGCAACTAAAACATTCACATACTGGTAAAAGAAACAGACAGAATCAGATGCAAATAAAACCATCATCATAGTAGCAAATGAAGCAGAGAGTTGATGTGGCAACATCAACCTCATAAAGATCTTGAATATGTTAAAGAAAACTTGCACAAGCATCATCTTTACCACACAAGATGATTAATAATCCACTAACTACAAACTGAAATCCACCTAAAAAGGGCCCACAGCATAATGGGTCGTGTGAGGAAATATGGACCAAGAAAGGGCCCACAGCAGAACCTCGCAATCAGCCCAATATCACTTCTAGTGCTCGGTCCACCAGCACTCTGCAAACATAAATGGGTCTAGGCCCAAAAAGAAAAAGCTAAAAATAAGGTTACATATCTTTCAATGTACTTAACCAGATATTTTTCAAGATAATACAAGAAGAAAATGGAAATTTGAATTACAAGCTACAATGACCATATATGGTTTTTATGAATGGTCTACTACTCAATGTGAGTTTAAAATTTTCTTCAACAAGATTGTTAAGAATGAATTTTGCCAAGATTGAACTCACTTTAAGAATGGTTAATCAATCATGTCCATTGCATTGCTTATTTGAATTATCTGAGAATGATGATCCGTTTTAGAAGATGGTGTTTTGTGTAGTTGATGCTGGTTTACTATTTACTTGGGTGACATTTGTTCTTTATTGAGAATATGATTGATAATCTAGTCAAACCTTTGGCAATTAAATTGTGCAAATGTTTATGAACAACTGTTGTTTTCTTGTCTTTCCGTGCATATTTCTTCTACAAGGCATCTCGTGACATGGATACATGATTTGGGATTAACAAAGAGCAAAGCGATTCTACTACTAAAGCATGGCTTGAGAAGATGAAAACCCTATTTATCAGAAAGGGTTGTGGATTCTCCTCACGGAGTGTTATTACAGGTGATGCATATAAAGGAGTCAATGAGATTGGACTGCCTTTTGAAATTGCTCAACGGATAACATTTGAGGAGAGAGTTACTCAATATAACATGCAGTATCTGCAGAAGCTGGTTGATGAAAAGTTGTGTTTAACCTATAGGGATGGTTTGTCAACCTACTCGCTGAGGGAAGGTTTGAAGGGGCATACTTTTTTAAGACCTGGTCAAGTGGTACATCGACGGATAATGGATGGGGCTATTGTTTTCATCAATAGACCTCCGACAACGCATAAGCATTCCCTGCAAGCTTTGTCGGTTTATGTTCACGATGACCATACAGTTAAGATCAACCCTCTTATATGTGGGCCACTTAGTGCTGATTTTGATGGTGATTGTGTCCATATATTTTATCCTCAATCCCTTGCTGCAAAATCAGAGGTTTTGGAACTGTTCTCTGTAGAGAAACAGTTGCTTAGTTCTCATAGTGCAACTAACGAATGTATTTTGGACTCTTTTTAACTCTAAAATTAGACATTAACCATACAGAGGGAAACATAAAACTTAAACCTTCATCTCCGCAATACAGAGTAAACTCATTCCCCGTGTAGTGTACACAACCAAAGACCAACAAGAAAATAATAAAACAAAAATAACATGTGATTTTTGGCAACGCAAAATATACATATTAGCCATAATGAGATACACAAAACTTTTGTGACTAATAAACACACACAAATTTCATCAACAAAATTGTTAGTTATATTCTAACACAAGCACAAATCACTAGTCCCACATAAATCAATTTATAAGAATCTTCTTCTAACAAGAAAACTATTATTTATATATATGTGTACGTACCTTATCGGGATGAAGATAGACTTTGTCTCTGAAGAGAAGAACAACACTGGCCTCATCAAGAACACGGGTGAAAGCAGCGACTGAGTGTTCCTGAAAATCAAATAATTGTAGTATTTCAAATAATTCATGTACAATTACAGACTCTCACTGAAAACACTATAACTGAAATACATGGAGTGACAAATACTAAAAAATGATTAATTAAAGATCCTAAATTTACTATATATACATACTTCCACAACTTCAATTTGTAGATAAACACAAAAAACAAACCCACCAAGAAAACTAAATTATATTCTCCTAAATTGTATTTGAGTCCAAAATTCTCCTAAATTATATTCTCAAAGATCCAAAAGTCAAAAAAAATGGATCTAATAAACAAAATCACAGTAGGCCATCATTGATGCATTTTATCGAACATTTGACAGATAAGAAAAATGGGATTTGAACTCTAATGAGAGAAACCAGACATCACAACAACACCCCTAAAAAAAATTCTAAAAAGGCACTTGGCAAGAAAAAAAATCAATTAGGGCATAGAAATTGCAATTTATAGGGGAAAGAGAGACAAGCACAATTTGTCAATAGAAAAAATAAGAAGCTGAAGAAGGGGGGAGAGAGAGAGAGAGAGTCCCCCCCTCCGGCGATCCTTACCCTACGGCCACGCCTAACAAACCCACGGCCACACCCCTCCCTGCCTCATCTACGCCAAACACCTCTACCGTTCTCGCCATTCGCTGCCTAGCTCATGCTTGACAATTGTTTGGGTATGCTATTTGGACTCTTGAAGTCTACTATTTGGATGTTGAATGAGAAGAGAAGAGAATAGATGAGTGCGTACCGTTGATTGTCACCGCTGCCGAATCAGTTTCGCCATACCGTCGAAGTGTGCACAAAGAGAGAGATTAAAACCCTACCCTTCCCTTTCATTCCCTTTTGAATCCTCTATCTTCTCCCTCTCTTCTCGTTTTCCTCTAAATACAATGAGATGAGGCTTGGGTGTGTTTATTCAGTAAAAGGGTCAGTCCAGTCTTTAAAAGAAAAAAAAAATTGAAAAATGCAAAACGACGTAGTTTCGTTTGCTAATTTATTGGCGACAAAAATTCTTCTGTCGCCATAAGTACCGTTCATCTTTTCCGCGACTATTTCATTTCCGTCGCCAAAACTTTACAATTGGCGACCAAAATTTCGTCGCTATATGTTCATTTGGTCGCGAAAATATTTTTGGCGCTCCCGCCCAAAAAATTAAGTTGGCGCCAAACCTTTTGGCGACTAAAAATATTAACTTGTCGCCAATAGTGTACTTTTGGCGACAAACAATTATATTGTCGCTGATTATGTAAAATTGGCGACTAATTTCAGTTTGGTTGCTAAAAAACGTCGCCAAAAATGTTTTTTGTTGTAGTGACCCTAAACCCTAAACCCTAAACCCTAAACCCTAAACCCGAAACCCCTAAACCCTAAACCCTAAACCCTAAACCCTAAACCCTAAACCTTAAAATGTAAAAATTCCAAAACCCTAAACCCTAAATCAAAAACCCAAAACCCAAAACCCAAAATCCAAAATCCAAAATCTTAAACCCTAAACCCCTAAACCCCTTAATTCCTAAAGCCCTTAAATCCTAAAATCCTAAGCCCTAAATCCTAACCCCCTAAACCCCTTAAACCCTAAAATCCTAAATTCTAAACCCTAAACCTGAAACCCGAAACCCAAAACCCCTAAAACCCTAGATCCTAAATCCTAAATCCTAAACCCCTAAACCCTAAACCTTAAACCCTAAATCCTAAACCCCTATTTGGTGTAAATGGGTCCGTCGTAAAAACTTAAATCGGATGGAACTATAGATAAATATAAAGCAAGGCTCTTTGCTAAAGGTTTTAAGCAACGAGTTGACCTTGATTTCTTTGATACTTTTTCTCTGGTTACTAGAGTTACATCCATTAGACTGTTGATTGCAGTGGCTGCAATTCATGGTTTAAAAATTCATCAAATGGATGTAAAATCGTCATTTTTAAATGGAGATCTAGATGAGGAGATTTACATGGATCAACTCAAAGGCTTTGTAGAGCCTGGCCAAGAAAACAAGGTGTGTAAGCTAACTAAATCCCTCTATGATTTAAAACAAGCGCCTAAACAATGGCATGGTAAATTTGATTCATGCATGCTTGAGAATGGCTATAAGACGAATGAATGTGATAAGTGCATATATTATAAAACTTGTGAAAATACATATGTGATTATTAGCCTATATGTGGATGATCTACTCATCTTTGGCTCTAATTTGCATATTATAAATGAGATTAAAAATATGCTCAATAGCCATTTTGATATGAAAAATCTTGATGAAGCCAATTTTATTTTGGGAATTAAAATTACCAAGACTAATGATGGTATTTTTCTTGATCAGTCGAATTATGTTGAGAAAATGTTAAAGAAATATAATTTTCTAGACTGTAAACATGTTACTACTCCTTTTGATGCAAGCCTACATTTATCTGCTGTAACAAATGAAAAGGAAGTAATTAATCAAAAGGATTATGCTAGCATGATTGGTAGTTTGAGATATGCTACTGACTGTACTAGACCTGACATTGCATATACTGTTGGAGTACTTAGCATGTTTACTAGCAAGCCAAGTCGAGATCATTGGCTAGTCATGGGAAGAATTATGAGATATTTATCTGGAACCAAAAATTTTGGTTTGTTTTATAACAAGTATCCTGCGATACTTGAGGGATATAGTGATGTCGATTGAAACACTTTGTCAGGTGATTCTCTCTCTACCTTGGGTTTTATTTTTACCTTAGGTGGTGGTGCTATATGTTGGAAGTCTAAAAAGCAGATGATAATTGCTAATTCTACAATGTAAGCTGAGCTTATAGCGTTAGCTTCTGTATGTGAGGAAGCGAATTGGTTGAGAGATTTGTTATATGAAATTTCTTTTTGGGAAAAACTAATTTCTCCTGTGTTAATTCGTTGTGATAGCACTGCTGCTATTGGTAGAGTGAACAACCATTTTTATAATGGTAAATCCAGACCTATTCGAAGGAAACACAATAATGTGAGATCCTATTTGAGTAATGGCGTCATAACTGTGAATTATGTAAGATCTTGTGATAATCTTGCGGGTCCGTTAACCAAGGCCTTGGCGAGAGATAGAGTTTGGAATACATCGAGGGGGATGAGTTTGAAGCCTATAAAATTATAAACCATGTATGAGGATACCCAACCTAGGGACCAGAGATCCTGTAACTAGGTTCAATGGGAAGAACGAATCATATGGTGGTTGTAAAAAATGCACTCTTTAATATTTTGTTATCCATCCCTGTGATGTAAGTGCATTTGTCCTGTAATGTTGGAGGGTTGAGTTTTTATACTCTTAATGAAATTATGTAGCTCTTGTTGAGTGGGGTGTGTAAATTACAGGAACATCCTTGACAGATTTCACCTATGTGAGCATGAAAGTGGGGCCACTTTCTATGAGAACAAGGCTTATTCTCAAATATGCTCATGAAAATTGGGATTAGCACAAGGCCGTAATATGTTAGCTATTAAAGCTCATGTCAACACCTGGATTATTATGTGTGAGCAGTAATTCTTTATTTGCCCTAAGCAGTCATAGTTCAAGTCTGAGACCACTATTGATTCTGGAGTAGAGGTTGCTGTTTCAGTAATGAAGGTTCAATGCAGACCACGCCTTCATGATGCATACTAGTCTACCTTTGTTTGGTAATCTCCCTTATCCTTGTTGATATTAAAATGAGTGGGGGATTGTTGGACCATTTTAATATCTTTTAACATATCTTGTTCATGAATGGGTTTCATTACTTTGGTAACCTCTTATCTTAGTGATGAATGGGGTTTCATTACTTTGGTAACCTCTCATCTTGGTCATAAATTGACATAAATGGAGTTTCATTACTTTGGTAACCTCTTATCTTGGTCATGAATGGAGATTAATTAGAATTCATGACCTTGGTGGTGAGTTAATTTTTGGAGTTTCTCAATTTTCTCTAGTTTAATGATCATCTTTATTTTTGGTGTAACTATAAGGTCCTAGTGGCCTATAAATAGTCCCTCTTATCTACCCCAACACACACCAACTATTTTCTATACAAGAGAGATTACTAGCAAAGAAGGGTGTTTTTCTTGGTGGAGCTTTGGGTTCACCATCTTGTACAGAGTTGGCCTGAACTATACGATAAGTGGTCAGGCTGTTGTATCCTAGAGTGGACAAGTCATAGTTTTGTGACTGCTGCATCAGTATTGGGGTTCTTCCTACCGCAGTGGGCTTGATCTCCTTAAAGAAAATGAGATATTCGTGCCTCAGCCTGATCTATTTGTATCTCATTTTCTTTACATTATTTATCAATAAAATATATTTTTTTCTAGTATTTTCATCAACACCACTTTAATATCTTTTAATATATCTTGTTCATGAATGGGTTTCGTTACTTTGGTAACCTCTTATCTTGGTTATGACTGAAGTTTCATTACTTTGGTAACCTCTCATCTTGGTCATAAATGGACATAAATGGAGTAACCTCTTATCTTGGTCATGAATGGAGATTAATTAGAATTCATGACCTTGGTTGTGAGTTAATTTTTGGAGTTTCTCCATTTTCTCTAGTTTAATAATCATCTTTATTTTTGGTGTAACTGTAAGGTCCTAGTGGCTTATAAATAGTCCCTCTCATCTACTCTTTTCTACACCAACACACACCAATTATTTTCTATACAAGAGAGATTACTAACAAAGAAGGATATTTTTCTTGGTGGAGCTTTGGGTTCACCATCTTGTGCAGAGTTGGCCTGAACCATACGACAAGTGGTCGGGCTGTTGTATCCTGGAGGGGACAAGTCGTAGTTTTGTGACTGCTACATCGGTATTGGGGTTCTTCCTACCGCAGTGGGCTTGATCTCCTTAAAGAAAACGAGATATCCGTGCCTCAGCCTGATCTATTTGTATCTCATTTTCTTTGCATTATTTATTAATAAAATATAATTTGTTCTGGTATTTTCACCAACAATTTTAAGGAGATCAACCATGGAACAAGTACTAGAAAAAAACCAATGATAGAATTGGAGATCTCAACAAGCCTTTCAAGTTTAAAGGAGTTCATTTTAAGAGGTGGAAAGAAAAAGTTCTTTTTTACCTTAGCCTTTTGAAAGTTGCATATGTTCTTACCGAAAAGAATCCAAACAAAATCCTAACTGTGGGGATGAATGATGAAGACTACGAGGCACATGAAGCAAAAGTGGCTTCTTATAATACAGATGAGTATAAATGTTGCTTTTATCTCTTAAATTGCCTTGCTGATCAATTTTATGATTACTATGACACCACTTACACTTCCGCAAAGAAAATTTGGAAAGCTTTACAGACTAAGTATGATACTGAAGAGGCAAGAGCAAAAAAATATGCAGCTAGCCGCTTTTTTCGCTTCCAAATGGTAGATGAAAAATCTATTGTGGAGCAAGCACAAGATTTCCAAATGATAGTTGCAGAAGTAAGATCTGAAGGCATCAAGATTGGTGACAACTTGGTAGTTGCAGGACTTGTTGACAAGCTACTGTCATCCTGGAGAGAATTCCAAAAGATCATGCGCCACAAACAAAAGGAGACTTCCTTAGAGGCGTTGATCACTCGCATCCGAGTAGAAGAGGAGGCTAGAGGCCATGATGCATTAATAACACAAGCGGGTAATGGCAATTCTACCACAAAGGTAAACTTTGTTTCAGCAAATAATAACTTACCCAAAGGTCACAATTCCAAGAATGCTTATTTGAAGCCTTATAAAAAGA